CAGGATTAAACGCTGCTTGGCATCGATCGAACGTGTGTGTTTTGTTTGTCTCGGCGAGGCCTGGGCCGAACAGATGCTATCGAGAAGCTACCTTGCGAAACGATAATGAAAGCTAGAGTCCCGTATCATCAAATAGCACTTTTGAGCCAGGGTGGCTCCTCAGAGTCTTCTCGCGTATTCCTGCTCCTGATCCACCTGTGCCTTCGGCGTCGTCGTCGAGCGTTTTGTCGTCGTCGTCCTCCGCATCCACGTTACTCTCCCTCTCGCCCTCGCCCTCCCCCTTACACTGCACCTCATCCTCCTCCTCCTCCTCCTCCTCCTCCTCCTCCTCCTCCTCCTCCTCCTTCTCATCATCGTCATCATCAGCATCAGCATAATCATCATTAGTATGATCATCATCAGCAGTATCAGCATCATCAGCATCATCATACGCATAATCATCATCATCCCGCTCCTCTATTCTTCCCGCTCCTCCTCATCCTCCTCCTCCTTCTCCCCCTCCTCCTGCTTCTCATCACCATCATCCTCATCAGCAGCATCATCATATTCCTCTATTTATTCCGCTCCTCCTCCTCCCCCTCCTCCACCTCGTCCTCCTCCTCCGCCTCCTTCCTCCTCCACGTCATCCTCCTCATCATCCTGATTATCCTGGTCCTCCTGCCCTCCTCCTCCTCCTCCTCCCCCTCCTCCTCCTCCTCCGGCTCTGCCCTCTTCCTCCTCCTCCTCCTCCTCCTTCCTCCTCCTCCTCATCCTCCTCCTCCTCCTTCTCCTCCTCCTCCTCCTCCTCCTCGTCCTCCTCCTCCTCGATCAGCGAGGCACCAGCTTGAGCTTGCACCGTAACGAAAGTCATTGCATGCGGTGCGAGACGCACCGCGCGCGCGCGGCAAGCCTAATCGCCACAGAGACGATCCTTCCTGAGGGCACGAGCGCCTCCTCCTCCTCCTCCTCGTCCTCCTCCTCCTCCTCCTCCTCCTCCTCCTCCTCCTCCTCCTCCTGTTTGTATATCTCCTCATCTCACTCCCCCCCGTTCCCTCAGGCGAAACGCGCCGGGCAGCGCGCGGCATCACAGAGCCCAGTTCGGCGAGGATGTCTCTAGGGCAAAGATGTCTGAGCGAAACGCGCTAGAACACTTCTCGCGCGGCATCTCGGGGCTCAGAGTTGCGAGGATGTCTCAAACGAAACGCGTTGGACCACCTCGCGCGTGGCATCTCGGAGCCCAGAGTTGCGAGGATGCTTCAAGCGGAACGCGCTGGACCCCCTTGTGCGCGGCATCTCGGAGCGCAGAGTTGAGATAATGCTTCGGGCGAAACGGGTCATACCACCGTGCGCGTGGCATGTTCGACGATCAGAGTTGCGAGGGTACTTTTGGCGAAGCGCGCACGACCACCTCGAGCGCGGCACCTCGGAGCCCAGAGTCGTGAGGATGTACCAGGCGAAACGCGCTTGACCACCTCGCGCGCGGCATGTCGAAGCAGAGAGATGCGAGGATGCCTCAAGCGAAACGCGCCGGACCACATTGCGCGCAGCGTCTTGGAGCCCAGAGTTGCGAAAATGTCCCAGCAAAACGCGCCTGGACACCTCTCGCGTGGCAGTTCGGAGCTCAGAATTACGAGGAAGCCTCAGGCGAAATGCCCCAGACCACCTCGCGTGCGGCATCTCGGAGCCCAGAGTCGTGAGGATGTCTCAGGCGAAACGCGCCGGACTACCTCGCGCACGGCATCTCGGAGTCCAGAGTTGCGAGGATGTCTCAAGCGAAACGCCCAATCCCGACCACCTCAGAATCGAGAGTTGTGAGGATGTCTCAGGCGAAACGGCCCAGACCACCAAATTTCCTCGAACATGTCTTTGGGCGCCCATTCCTCATGTCTCTGGACGCCGATTCCTCCACCGGAACTGGCTTCTCCCACAACGGCACCCCATTCGGCAAGCTGTTTAGGGAAAAAACGCACCGATAAATGCATGGGAAAGGAACGTTCGAGCGATGGCAAGCCTGTTCATGCCCTAAACAACGCGGAGCGAGAGAGGCGACAGCGGGAGCTACGAGGGGGGCCGCGGGCCACCGAGTCGTTTTGTGGGGCTCGCGTGTTTTGTCGGGGAGGAGGGTTGGTTCCCTTTGGAGTGTCATGGCCACTGCAGCTCAGAGCGCATGCGTGCGACTGGGCAGCAAGCAGAGCGCGGAGTCGCACGCGAACTCCGCGCTGGAGGCCACAGGCTCCAGGGAGGTCGTAGGCCCCGAAGAGCTGGCTGGCCGCAGTGTCGGTGAACTTGGAGGCCCAGCTGCCCTGCGCGAGAGGTTCTCGCAGCCCTGCGTGTGCACGCTGGGCGCCGTTGGGCACGCGGGGGACCAGGCTGTGGCACGCCCGCTGGGGACGCAGGCTGCCAACGCCCACGGCTCACAGGGCAAGGAGAAGGTAGGAGCTGGCAGGGGGCCTGAGGTGGCCCAGCCCTGTTTCGGGAGAGCGTGTGTTGAGCTCGACGAAGTGTGTTGCCGTTTTTGGTCTCCGGGGGCCGATTTGGGGCCCCAGGATCTTGAGAAACGGATCCGCTGCGAAAGCCTGCACCAGATGGACCCTGGGAGGGGTTCGTGGCTCGATTTTCAAAGGAGTTGGCCTCGTGCCCCCTCCTGGCCGACTGCTGTGGCCCCAGCCAGTTCAGATCCCATGGCCGCATCCAAAATCCAAGCAGCGGTAGAAGCAACGACGGGACGCGTCCGGGGCAAATTAAGGCACGGGGGGGCAAGCGAGGCCGGAGGGGAGAGAAGGGCGCCGCGGATGGTGGACCACGCTCAGCCCATGAAGAGCATGAACGTACGCGCCGGAGGACAGGCTTCAAGGCAGCCAACCAGGGAGCGGTGAAGGAACACGAGGGACGACCGTGCCAGGAAGCGGCAAGTCGATGGGAACCGAGTAACGCGACGACAGCGTAGAGCAACGCAAGCACGCCCACAGCTCACATGGCAAGAAGAGCGAGGGCAGGCAGACGGGAAGCGATTCTCGGCGGGCCGATCCTTGAGCCCAGGATCGGTGCCTGCTCTCTCTTGGTCCGGCCCAGGATTGGGCAGGCCAAGGTCGGGGGTAATGCTCAGCGCCCGAGCTGTGCACGGACAAAAGTGGCACAATTGCCCAGCAGCCAAAGTGGTCCAGGACCGACTGCGGCCGCTGTTGGGCAGGCGATGATCCGTCTCAAGTGGACCACGTCCGCGGCGACACTGACGGCGACTCCTGCTCAGAATGGTAGGAATTGCTCCCCCTCCGCGGCTCCACCGAGTCGGAGCTGTCGTATGCGCCAGACTTCCTCTCCAGCCACAATGCCGCCACTCGCAGCTGATGGTCTAAACAGCTCAAGTGTGCTTTGGCGGACTCGAACTTCTCCAGGATCGTTCTTCTAGCGAAGAATCGGGGCACAAACAGAGACAAAAACATAAGAACTCGGAGGTCCGTGCTGATTTCTCGGATCGGCGCTGGACCCCCGCCCGAGGCGCCACCAGGGGACCGCAGCACCGATCCGAGAAATCCGCGCAGAGCTCCGAGTTTTATGTTTACGCCATGACTTGCCCCCCCCAGAAACGCAGGAGCCGCGTTCGGTCTTCGGCCCCAGCTCCTGCCGCCCCTTAGGATATCGCACTGAAGTGCAGCGGACGCCCTGCTGTGCGCATCCTCCCCGGCTCCTCCTCCTCCTCCTCCTCCTCCTCCTCCTCCTCCTCCTCCTCCGCCTCCTCCTCCTCCTCGTCCTTCTCCTCCTCCTCCTCCTCCTCCTCCTCCTCCTCCTCCTCCTCCTCCTCCTCCTCCTCCTCCTCCTCCTCCTCCTCCTCCTCCTGCCCGACGCCGCGAGCAAGGCGGTCTCCGCCCCCGCAGGGGTTCTCCGCTGGAGGTCGCTCGGCATCCCGGCCCTTGGGGCGGTGCGCCCCAGGGGCTTCGAGGCGCTGGCTCGGAGGCGCCGCCCTAGAGCCCACGACCGTGCGACGCTCTGCCTCACGGCAGGCCTCATCCTCTTCTAAGCAGACGAGGGTGCGGGCGTACCCGGGGGAGGGTTGACGAATTCGACCGCCCTGCTCTTCCTCATATTCCTCCTCCTCATCTTCCTCTTTCTCCTCCTCCTCCTCCTCCTCCTCCTCCACCTCCTCCTTCTCCTTCTCCTCATCATCATCATAAATAATCCTCCTCCTCCTTCTCCTCCTCCTCCTCCGCCTCCGCATCATCATCATCATCATCATCATCATCATCATCATCATCATCATCATCATCATCATCATCATCATCATCATCATCATCATCATCAGCATCATCATCATCAGCAGCAGCAGCATCATCATCAGCAGCTTCGTCATAATCATCATCGTCATCATCATCATCATCAGCAGCAGCATCATCATCACCATAATCCTCATCAACATCGTCATCGTCATCATCAGCATCATCAGCAGCAGCATGATCATAATCATCATCGTCATCATCATCTTCATATTCATTAGCATCATCGTCAGCATCATCATCATCGTCATCATCAGCATCATGATCAGCATTATCATAATAATCGTCATTACCATCATCAGCAGCAGCATCAGCATCATCATCTCACCATCATCGTCGTCATCATCATCAGTAGCAGCATCACCATCAGCAGCAGCATCGTCGTCATCGTCATAGCCATTGCGGGTCTAGCAACTGCTGGTCCCAGGGGGCACTGGGCTGCGTGCGCGGCCCCTCTCCTATTCCTCTCCCGCACGGCCGCGCCTCCCATCCCGTGGTTGATGGTCTTCACGGCTCGTCTGGCGTGGGTGTTCGATCAATTGGCAGTTGGAAGGCAGTGCAGCTGCAGGTCGAGCACGTACGTCAGCAAGGTGGTTCTCCAGACTATCTTGGAGAAGGAGCTTCGCGAAGGCATGCAGAACCTTGCGGCTGGCCAGCTCATCCTCCACCTGATCCAGAGCCTGGACGGCTACATTGTCGTGGGTCATGGTCATCGGAAGTCGAGTGGAGCACCGCACTGCACCTTCGTGTTCACGGTGCCGCCGCATAAGGTTGGAAGTGCCGAGGGCGGCAAGCCCGACGATAATGATGACGGTGATGATGACGAGGGTCACGCTGGACCTCCCACATATCCAAGTGAAGATGGCGGTCTTGGTGGTCGGCGTCGGCGTGGACGTGACCCGTGGTATGAAGATGGGGCTTCCGACCCTTGGTCTGTTGTTGGACCGTGCCCTCGGCGTAAACTGCCACGTGCTGCTGCGCCTGGAGGGGGTCAGCGACGATCTGCGCGTCCTTTGGCACTACCGGAGGTGCCGCCTCTTCAACAGAGGGGCCCGTGTCTCCCATCTTGATGGATTCGGCGCTGCTGAGGTACTTCTGCGAGAACTGGGCGGTGGCGTCCATGTTCATCCTGCTGTTCGTCAGGCTTCTCCTGATGATGTTCGCGAGCTGTCCGATCCGCCCCGCGAGCTTGGTGCGCATCTTATTCATGATCTACTTGGTGATCGGGCTGGTCTGGTTCTTCCTCCTGAGCGTAGTCGTGACGATCTACGGTGTGAGTTTGGTCGTGCGTCTTTTCTTCATGAACTTGCTCGGGAAGATCTGCATCCTGAGCATGGTTATGCGTGGTGGTGCTGCGTTGGCTGTTCCTCCCGAGCCTTGTCGTAACGATATACGTCGTGAACTTGGTCGCGCAGCCCTTCTTCATGAACCTGGTCGGGCAGATCTGGCTCATGAGCATGGATGTGCAGAGCCTCGCCATCTTGGACCTAGTCGTGCCGATCTTCCTCGAAAGTCTGGTCGTGCAGCTCTTCTACGGGAGACTGATCGTGCTGGTGCTGCTCAGGAGCTGGCGGCGGCACAGTTGATGGCCCGTGTCTTCATGGAAATGGTGGTTGCGCAGGCGGTCGGTGTCGAGTCTCCTGTTCTATCCTCTCGTGAAGCGCATGTGCAGCCTGCTCGTGAGGATGCTGAGCATCGTGGGTCTGCTCCTGTGCGCTTTCCCGATGCGGGTGCGGACGATGAGCCTGGCCTCGGGCATCTCCCTGATGACGGTGCGGATCGCTCACCTGCTCGCATGCGTGTTCTTTATGCTGCTGTGCATCATGCGCCTCATCGCGTGCACCGTCCTGGTGGTGGTGCGCGCCGTCCTACCCAGGGTTTCCTGTGCTGGGCGTTCGGTGGTTTCCTGGAAGTCGGGCACACGCTGGGCCTGGGCCTCCCTGCAGGGTCCTCCTGACAGCAGTCGGATCGGCGCCTGCCTGAGCACCTGGCACATGAAAAACTAGCAATCAAAAAAGTCATCATCGTCATCCTCCTGCTCTCATCCCCCCTCCCCCTGAGGAGGAGGGCGAGAGAGAGAAGAAGGAGAAGAGGAGGATGAGAGGGGAGCTGTGTGGGAAGGAGGGGAACAGGGGATCAGCGCCGAAGGGGCAGGGGATGGGGGGGGAGGAGGGGGGGAGGGGGGCGGGGCAAGCAGGGTGCGGTCGCGCCACGTCGGACATCTGGACCCCCCCGCGCCCTTCCCGCACAAGCGCGCTGGGCTGGTTTTTTTCTGCTTTCAGAATCGCGTGTCGAATCGGACCCTGATCCAACGGTGGCACTGGCGGCTCTGGACCCTTCGTCCGCTGCGCAACAGTTCGAGGCCGGGGAGCGCACCCGGTGGTCGGGCGCCGTCCGGGCGGAGCGGCGCTGCGCGCACGATCCTGGGGCGTCTTTTCGCGAGGCGTGGCGATCTGCCGCGACGGGGCCTCGGAGCTCCCACGGCGCAGCAGCGGGAGTTGGGAGCGCAGGCGGGCTGGGGGCGGGAGCTGGAAGGTGCAGGGGGCAGCAGAGGGGAGAGCGGGGGGAGATGGAGGCGGGGAGGGGGGCGTGAGGATACAGAGGAGCAGGAGGAGGGACGAGGAGGAGCAGGAGAAGGAGGAAGAGGAGGAGGGACGGGGGAGCAGGAGAGAGAAGCAAGACGACGACGAAAACGAACACCAATACAAATCATAGCATGTCGAAGAGAAACAAGAGGACAAGAAGGAGGAGGGAAGAAGGAGGACGACACTGATGAGCAGGAGGAGGGGGTGGACAGAAGAGCAGGACGACGCCAAGGAAGGAAGAAGTCGACATTGAAGAAGACAGAGGAGAAGCAGAGGACAAGGACGCCGACGATGAGGATAAGAAAGGCCGAAGACGACGTTGGTAAGGAGGAGGTGGATGCTGGTAAGGGGGAGGAGAATGAGGAGCGGTAGCGGCAGAGGGAGGAGGGTGAGAGGAACCCTCCCTCGCCCCATGTGAAGCGCGCACCCACACACACAAAACAAAACAGACATGCGGACGAGGACTCAAGGTCGAGCCACGATCGCCCCGCCCCTTCTGGCCGCTCTAGACCTCGACAATCATTCCACACACACACACACAGGAGGCGGAGAGGAGACCTCAGGCGGCGACAACGACCAGGGAGACCGAAGCGGCGACGACAACGACGACGACAACGACGACGACGACGACGACCACGATGACGACGTCGACAACGACAGCGATGGCGGCGGCGGCGGCGACGACGACGAAGATGACGTCGAGGACCGCGACGACGACGACGACGACGACGACGGCGACGGCGACGACGTCGACCGAGCCGCGACAACCCACGGACCCCGAGGAGGCAGAGACGGGGCCTCAGGCGACGAGGAGCCCCACCTTCCTCTGCATCGCGGTGGTGCCCGAGGAGCGCGGGTTCTGGGGTTCTGGGCGGGGGGGGGGGCGGCGAGGCTAGGCAGAGAGGGCTTTTCCCCCAGCCTTCTCCCTCCGCCTGGCGGCCTCGTCGCGATCTGCTTGCCTGGCAGCTACGACGGGTCTGCCAGCTCGTTCTCTCTCTCTCTCTCTCTCTCTATCTTTCTGTCTCGCTCTCTCTCTCTCTCTCTTTTTCGTTGTCCCTCCTTCGGCCCCGCACAGTACTGAGGCTAGCTTGCTAACGGGCTGACCATGAGCCTCCATGGAGTCGAGTTGAACCCGTCTTCCTCCACTGTGGCTGGCGCCCGCCAAGTGTTCCTGATTGTGTGTCGGGAGTTTCGTGTTCCGCACGGACAGCGCGCGAGACCAAAGATCACCAGATCTTCACGCCAGCCTCCCTCGTGTGCGAAAGATCCTACCGTGTAGGACCACGACCAAACACCAGGGTCCACAACGCCTGCTTCGGAAGTGGATTCGATCGCCTCCGAAGCCGTGCTCGACCTGCTTCTGACCGGCGAGAAGAGCTGCTACGACGCAAGGGCTCGAGGCCAGCTGCGCGTACGTAGGCCCAGGCCTTGGCTGGACGAAGGCCTCGAGAGCAACACGATGCCAATTCTTTCCCCTGGCAGGGTGCAGCGCCCCCCCGCGGAGCCCAGCAGGCCGTTCGGGAATTCGCTGGCCTAGCCCAGGATGTTGTCTCCCCCTTTCCATGGAAAGGGGGGTCGGGGAAATCCTCCTCCTCCCTCACCTTCTTCCCTCATCCTCCCACCCTCCCTCCCTCCCTCCCTCCCTCCCTGCCCCATCCCTCCCTCACCTCTCCCTCGTCCTCCCCTCCTCCCTCCATCCCTCCCTCCCTCTCGTCCTTCCCTCCTCCCTCCACTTCTACCCCTCCTAGCGCAAGCTGTGCCACGGCTGAGCTCGAAACTCAACAGAATTCCCAATCAGTTTTCCCAGTCATCCCGTTCCCTCGCCATGCCACCATGTTTTGATGTTCTGTCAGGGGCCTTTGGGATGCTTAGGGGGTTCTCTTGGGAGCCCTTTCGGAAGCCTCTTGGAGGCGGTTTCGGGATCGGGGCCTCCCGGGTAATCCTGGAGTTTATGGGTGGGTTTCTTGGGGGACTGCTGGTGGTCTCGGAGGTCGTCTTGGATCGAAGGGCTCGAAATGTCGGTCCGTGCTCCCCCTTCTGGGTCCTTTCTTGGACCCCCTCTTGGAACCCAATTATGTTGTCTTGGGGGCCTATTGGACAGTCGTGGGGCCGTCCTGGGCCGTTTGGGGAGCCTTTGGGGGGCCTCGTGGGCCGTCTGTGGGCAATCGTCAGGAATCTCTACAGAATCTTCGGATCTTGGGGGCCGATTGGGCCGCCTGAGAGAGTCGAACGCCCGAAAAGGCGAGAGCGCTCAAATCAACGTGTTTGGCCTCTCGGGGCCCTCTACGGGGACATCCTGGAGCCCTCTAGGAATCTTTGAAAAACTCTTGAGCTGTCTGGAAGCTATCATGGGCGTATCGGATCGATCATCGGGCGGCTCGGGGCGCTCTTGAAACGCCGTAGGTGCCATCTTGGGCAGTAATGGGTCCCCTGTAACACGCGGGAAGCCCTGGAACATTTACGACGCTTGGGCGTCCAACCTTTGAAGAACCTTCAGGATTTAGGACTGAGGATACAAGGGATTCAGGATTGAGGGCTCAATCAATGCGAGGACAATCCAATTCGCGCCTCGGAACACGGTAGCGGCTACGCGTATGATCACCTAGTAAGTATATATACACATACATACGTACATACATACACGGATACGTACATACATACATACATGCATGCGTCCATGTACAAACGTACATCTACATACTAAATGAATAAGTAGATAAATGAATATGCGCATACATACACAGATTAAGCACACGCAGATGGCAAAGAAAATGATGATTCATTTGTACAGCCAGCCCCCCACACCCACCCAAAAAAAACACAGCACCCCCCCCCTACCCCAATCGCTGTTGTCTCTCCGTGCTGTCTATGTGTATGTATATGTGTTGTATAGTTATGCGTACCTACATAAATGTGTATTTATATATATATATACATACATATACATACATACATACCTATACATATACATATACATATATATATATATATACATTGTTATCTCTCTCTCGTTTATATCATTTGTTTATCTCTCTTTCTCTCTTTCTCTCTTTTTCTCTCTCTCTCTCTCTCTCTCTCTCTCCTTCACTTTATCTATATGTCTCTATGTATTGTTTTTCTTTTTTTGGTATCTCTCTCTCTCTCGCTCTCTCTCTCTTTCTTTCTCTCTCTCTCTCTCTCTCTCTCTCTCTCTCTCTCTCTCTCTCTCTCTCTTTAAGTAATTACATATATGTACGTATGTATCGTTATCTCGCTCTCTCTCTCTTTCTCTCCCTTTCTCCCTCTTTCCATCTCTCTCTCTCTCTCTCTCTCGCTCTTTCTGTCTCTCTCTCTCTCTCTCTCCCGCAAGGTGTCCCTTCCCCCCCTCCTCCTCGTCGTCCTCCTCCTCCCTCTCCTCCTCTTCCTCCTCCTCCTCTTAAACGTCGGCTATGCAGGGCTGACCATTCCCCCCCACACACCGTACTTCAATTCAGCCCCATACTGCTACTTCTCCGGCGCTCGCTCAGTCCAGGCAGCGCGTCTCTCGTGGAATTTCAATCGACAGAGTTGAGGGCCCACGGCGAGAAATGCAGTCTCAGCAATCTGCATACGGACTACGGCGCTGGATGGGGGGTCAAGCGTAAGCACACACTGAGCATTCTGAATTTCGACATCGCTGGCCTGCTCTACAATGTTGAGATTACTGTTGTCTCTGGTACTGGACTGCAGAGATATGGCCCAGCTGGCGCGGCTACATGGCGCAAAGCAGGTACACGGTGGTGCCTCGACGCTGGTTGGGCCCGGTCACATCACAGCAACAAATCTTACGGCTGTGCAATCATCTTCGGCCCAGCTACTGAATGAAGCTCAGTGGTGCAGACGTGGGTCGCTCCAGCTGCAGGCCGAGGAACTGCACTTCGTGTTCGGAGCAAAATATACGACATCGCAGCGGTTTCAGTTTATTTCCCGCCGACCCCGTCGCAGGCCAGTCATTTTAAAGCGTAGTATCAGACATGCGACTCTCTCATTACTTGGCTTCGGTCGCTACCATTCTGGAGTGTACATCTGTGTTTTTCCTATACACGACCAGATGTCAACCCCGGGCTCGGCATCAGCAAGCTCGAAGGCACGGAACTCTGGCCGCCGACCGACATTAGGCAAGTGTGCCCAACGCATGGCGCAGCACGGCAACGCTATTCGGCCGAGGAATTTGTCCCTCGTTGCTTAGATGACCGACATGGTGGCTCTGACTACACAAAAATCTGGATACGGGCCGACATACTTCAGTTGCAAAGGACAGGGTAGCCAGCTTGACTATACCATTGTTCCGAGATGCCCTCTTCCAGTGACCAACTCAGCGGGAATTTGGCGCTGAATGGGCAGATGGCTCCAGGCCATCTCAGCAAGCACCCCTCGTGACCATGTTCCTGTCCATGCGAGAC